TTTTAAATGATTGGAAAACACTGTTGTAAACCATAAAAACTCTCAGAGGGACTCAAGAGTGGATGACACATCTGAAACTGTTTCTAAACCATTTTTCAAAACTCACTACGACAGAGAAAAAAGTCAGAGAAGAAAACCAATAGATGAGTAAGCTGTGTTTAAAAAGGCATATCTAGGAAGTCACAGTAAGAAAAAAGATAAAAACTCAGAAAAGCAAGCCAGAAAACAGCAGAAAGAGAAACACTGACTGAGAAATTTACCTGACGTGTTTCTAGTCCTTTCACCATACTGAATGCGCTTGAAATGCATGCACCACTGCTTGACATCTCTTGTTTAAATATAACGCTAGAGGCATTTCTTTTACTCGAATGCAGTGTTTTTCAAACTGCATTCCTTGCAACCCTGGGGTTCGGCAATAGGTCCTCACAGGTTTCACAAAGAGCTTGGGAACCAGGAGGTGGCAGGCCGCTAGTGTCAGGTCAGGCTGGGTCACTTGGCTGTGTGAGCTGACCCAGAGCCCACAGCCGGGGGTAGATGCGATATGAAAGGGTTCCGTGACTTTAGGAAGTTTGAAAACCACTGTTCTACGGAACACATTTTTGCCATAAGAGCAAACATTGGTTCTGGGTGCAATGTAATCCGGTTCAGAGGGCCATACCTCTGTTGCTGAGACTTGTGCAACAAAGCCTGAGAATTTGTGGTCTCAGATGATATCAAAAAGGTTTTGATTAGTTTGTGCCTATATTTGTACTTATACTTGGTCATAGTTGTATCTACGCTGCGTGTACCATTAGCAGAAGAAAGAAAATCTTTCAGATCAAGGATGTCTACTAGTTTTAGAAGGGCAAGTTTAATTTTTTGTTAGATACTGAAATACAGGATCACTTCCACCCCACAAAGATAACTACTCATGGAACACAGTAGATTCAAACAGAGTATCGTGTTCCATATAATACACTTCTAACAAGTGAAATAAATCATCTCTTAAATACCATCATAGATATAGGGCTAACATTAGCTTTCTACTGTGGTGGTCCCCAGACCTCTGTTTTATCAAGCATTCTTAAATGAACTAATTAATTGTGGTGATGAAGTGAAGCAGTTAATGTGGACCATCTTGTTCATGCAGTAAAACTGAAGCAGCTGCTTTTGTTTGACTGATGTAGTTTGAAAGAGCCCCCTGATGGTAAAGAATAGAAAAACAAGGGATATTTCAGTGTTCTTTCTATTACAAAAATTACTCATAGGATTATAACAGTATAACAGTCATAAAAGGAAATTGCTTTGACTTCATGTAATTGCAAAGGGGGGAAATGTTCATGGTTATTAAAGATAGGTGGACAATATAATTTTGTCACTTTTCTTAAAACCAATAAAAACCCTAAACCTATAAAATCATTCTGTTGATTATTCTAATACCTGAATATTTATATTTATATATACCTGAATAGACTGTATTTATGAATCCCTTCTAATAAACATTACTGAAAAATACACTATCAAAATAAAATGCTGGAACTGTGATGAGAAGTACTAACTCTACCAAGTGAACCCTGTAAAAAAGGCCTGATGCTATATAGTGTTAAGTTTCAGTGGGATGTGCATGCTTTCATTGAAGCTCTCTGTAGCATAGGATGACCACTTCTCTTTGTAAATCTCAGGTTTTATTCTGATAACAAATGTTCCAATAGCTTACTTTAGACAGTGTGAAGACTTGATTAGAATAAAATTACACCTGAACTGACCTCGGTGGGAATTATGGGTGTTCAGCACTGTGAAGATTAAAGCCCTGATTTGACAGCTTTCTGTCTTCCACACTTACCATGGCCAACAGTATCCCCCATTAAGTTCCATCCAACTTTCTAATAGGTAAAAGTGAAATCCCAGCTCTGCTGAAGTCACTAGGGATTCAGCCATTGAATTAAATGGGTCTAAGATGCCAACCTTATATGTTTTGGTTCTTATTAAGTATGAGGGGGAGCATTCTCTTCTTGAACATGTAAAACAGTCTGTTTGTTGTTTCCTAAGTACTTGTACAGTGAAACCCGCTTTAAGCAATTAATTTGAAATCATATCAGCTATTGACATTAACTTCAAATGGGGACCAGAAATGGTAAGATTCTAGCCAGCAGGTATGTCCTAAATTTTTCTAATGAAAAGTAGGTGTATTGTCTGGTAAGTACCATTTTATAATACCAAAAAAAGGCTAAAAATAATCTCAAAAAGAATTGGTTACTACACCTGAAAGTACTGGTCTATTTTGCATTGAGCTGAATAATGGCAACATAACGCATGTGTCCTTTAGCCTAGGAATATGACAGCAGATCAGACAGAGGTCTAACTACTGCATTCAAAATTAAGTTTCCAGTGTCTAGTGTTCTTTGAATTATTCTGCATGTGGCTTATAATTGTTAATGATTTTATGACAAAGAGCATATACAATGACTCACGGACCCCAAATCTTTTTGAATTCTAAGTAATAACATCTAGGGTCTAGTGGTTGATTTAAAATACTAATTTAAAAATCCTGGTGAAATATAAACTCAGTCATGGAACTAAATGCTTAGTGCAAACGTGGAAATGATTTCAAAATTATGTGCGCGTATGTGTATCTGCACAAGAGTGTGCATGTGTGTGAGCCCATGTCTTTTAGTTAAGAATTGCTATCGTGCTGAAAATACAAAAATATAAGCCTTCTACTATTCCCAATGTGTCCTAGAAACTTTCTAAGAACTCAAAGACTGAAAAGAAACTGAAAGGCCAGACAGCTGCATATTACAGCTATTTTGCATGAATTTCCTTTGAAAATAATTTCAACATCTGTAGTATGCCAGAATCATTTCTTAAAATGAATCCATTGCAGCTAATGCGCTCCCATGACACATTCTAGGCTATAATACAAAGGATTAAGCTATTTGGGGAAAAATAACCCACACCAAAGCCATCCGTAATCTACATTTGGATTACTTCTCACACTCAAGGAAACCTCTGGATTCAAAACATGAAGTTCCAACCATGTATGACACAAATGATTTGAAGTATTGCATTTCTTGGAATATTGTCAGTACTCCAGTTTGGAAGCTATCCTGCTGCATAGAGAACTAAGTAAGAAAAAAAACAAAAGCAGCCCGAACATTTTAGAAAGGGCCCTTCAATGTCACAGTCCTGTTCAAGAGCGTGTACAACACACAGCCATTTAAACCTAGTGAGGCCCTCGATTTTTTTTTCAGTGCTTCAGTTTGGAAGCATGTTAAACGCCACTTGCTTCCAAGACAGATTAAACCCAATTTAAACCTGCTATATCATAAAACAAGCAAAAAAAAAGGGAAACAATTTTTAATGTTAAAAACCACCTAAAGCTAGGAAAGCGGGCTGCCCCGCACAGTGGTAGCTGTCACATGATGGAAAGAGTCCATGTGTATGTGAAGACTTACCTATCTAGATACAGGTATACACACACACTATCTAGATAGTAGGTTTTTCATACATATATATATTATACACGTATGTATACATGTATGTGGGCATGTATGTGTGCATGAAGCAACCTACTAGACAGATAGGATGGAAAGGATGGACACACAATGTGGATGTACACCGATATCCCACACTTAGAGAGACGATTACTACTAAAAACGAGGGTAATAGGATTGCACAGATTAAGCCTGCAGGTAGAAACCTGGATAGCGGGAGAAATAAAATGCAGCCTCATCTTATTGCCTAGAGTTCAGTCAATTGTCTCCTCCTTGAAAACTGAGCAGGAGGAATTGCCCCGGGGAATCAGACGGACCGGGTCTGGTCCCCATGACACGGGTGCTGTTGCGAGCACCTGCACATCCCGCTTCACACGCCGCTCGCATCCGAGCCAACGGGGCTGTAAAAGGCGCCCGGAGGTGGCCAACTTCGGGCCGAGCAGGGAGGAGAGGCGCTACCCTGCTGCGTCGCTACAGGCTCCCTACACCGGGCGGCTGCGGCTGCAGACCCCGGCGCCCGAGCGGAGGCTCGGCTCGTCCCGCACCCGCGGAGGGAGGCGCCGAGCCCCGAGTGCCGCAGC